TTGGGATGTGTGTTAGCCAAGAAAACATGGAGGCTGGCTAAGATGACTTGAGGGCTGCCCTAAGTGCCAACCATAGAGAAAAGATGGAGGCCAACCGGGTAAAAGGATAAGGGCCTAAAACGAAGCTGGCCAAGAAGAGACAGGGGCTGCCATAAGCGCCACCAAAGAAAAGATGGAGGCCAAGTAAGTGCTATCCAGTCCATCCAGATGAAATTTGAAGAAACCAGCTGCAAATATGCTGAAGGCCTTTGCAAGAAATTCAACATGGAGATCCATGGCACGGGACATGACGTACAATTAGCAAAGATACCTGCAGAAGCCACGTGACAGGACCTTGAGACAAAACTGGCGGGAGTTGAAGCCTGAGAGGGGCATGGAGGCTGCTGGAACATAGTATCCAATGTGGATAGAGTAAAGCCACCAAAGTTCAATGGATCACCATCCTGGATGATGTTCCATATCCAGTTTGAGGCTTATGGCTGGACACATCTGGTTGGCCCAGGTGATGGCTATACACCTATGTACTACCTGCATGGGCAGGCAACTGACATTCTGCAAAGGGTCCTTACAGAAGCAAAGTATGGAGACACTACAAAAGTGATCAAGGACTATTACAGGGACCAATGACGGGCTGCTACCTATTGTTCCCAACTGAAAGCCAGGATCCAGCTGCCTGGCAAGTCTGCTGCCACCAATGAGCAGCTGGCCCACCAGGCTCTTACCAGTACTTCGTCCAGAGGCAACCTACACATTTTTTGAGAGAATAAGGGACTAAGACATGAAGCTTGACCTGCTCATAGGCAGCAAGAGGATGCTCAACAAAGCCCATAACCAGGCCATGAGGCTAGAGGCTGTAAAGGCTTTAGCCAGGTCACTAGGAAGGCTACAGATAGTAAAAGCTGGAGTACTTGGAGGCAACATGCTGAAGGACTGAGCAACCAATATGGTGGCAGTGTGGGGTTGTCAAATATTTTAGGAGAAACTGTCCACAGGAATGTTCCAAGAGGGACTGCTTGGGAAGACGTCAACCAGGACCCAAGAAACAAGCAGATGATGGTGCCAAGGAGGAGCTGGTGACACCCTTCCTGCCACTTCATGTCACACTTGTATACTGACAAAGGGACAAACCGTACTTCATGACAACCAACACCAAGGCATTTGTGACGAGCGCAGGGCTGCCAAGACACGCCAACTTAGCCATGCATCCTGTAGGTGGCATCTTGGCAGATGAAGTCCTCTGAGATCTTCGGTCTGGCACTCTGAGGGGCAACCACTGCCATCAGACCAACAGCAAGGTAATAAGGCAATACTGGCTCAGTGTGGGAAAGTCATGAATGTGCAGCTGAGGGGCCCCCTGGAGATGGCAGACAGCATGGTGGGACCTAGTCAGAATACAGCAAGAAAGAAAGGACTGTAAAGGGCATGGATGCTGGTTCATCCACCTGAGTGGTGCTTATCTGGATGGCTGCAGATCACTGGGGTAGAAGCACACCAGGAGTATAGAGGGCCAAGCTGAGAGGACTGTACTCACTGCCAGGAAGTGGAATGGTGTGGACCACTATTTCTGTAGCTGCAGATAGCATTAACAGCAGCTTGTTCTAAAGGGAGAGAAGGCTGGCTGACATATGAAATGGAAGGACAATGACAGCTGTGGCTCAAGTCTCGGCCTGATGCACCAGTATGATATTGTGGTGCCATTCATGAGGGTGGTCACCCATGCAGAAGGGGGGAGCTCCTTGGAGAAGAAGTAATGATAGTATGCCTGGAGGGAGGCATACCAAGAGGATTCTTGGTATGGTACCTATCCACTAACTAACAAAAACATGATCCTAATATTCAGTACCATGAGAAACTGATCTCAACAAAGTGCTATTCATGTAGCTCATGAAATAGGTACTGTACAGTTAGAAATCAGTAATCAGTATAAGTTTAGCAGTTAAGGCCAGGAAAATTTTGCTTTCAGAAAGAGTCGTAGGTTTCATTCTAGGAAATTCATGATAAATCTGATATCCCTGTCACTCAGAAGTTGCTGCATTGCAATTCTGTCTGCAATTCTAGTTACCAGTATTGTTAATCACAGATGCCTGAATGTTACAAATACAGGACCACTTTCACAAATTGGTAATGTAGGCAAATATGCCTTGGGTTGCAGTAAAGAGTAGTTGCTGCCCTGCAATATCTACATATTCACACTACACCACTTTCATCTTTCTGCATCTATTCGTGGTTCTGCTGAATCTACTCAAGCTGCCCTTCCATGTGCTGCTTAACTGTAAGCAGTATATTTCTGTGTCACCACTGCACCAGAAACATCTGTTCTTGGTATTACTACATAGCTATCATAATAACAAAAATCCATCTCACTTCTGAAGTTGCTTCTAGGTCTGAACCTGTACCATGTAAAGTCTCGATAACAGCACCCTTTCAAGATGTCTGGACAACTGCTGTTTCATGCCTACTGGAATAACTCTACCAAACAATGCTAGATTTCCGTTAAGTTTCAACTCTTTTTGCTTTGAACTGAGTGCTCTTATCATACACCTAATAAATAAACACTGTCTCAACAAAGGAGTAGGCTCATGAAGACAATGTATGGTACTGTCACTTAACAGCTGCACAAAACAAGATATGGTTCAACCCCAATTATGAGTGTCTATAAAATAAATAATAAAAAAAGACCATTCTAACATATTCTTGTAATCAAGGACTGAAAAAGGTGAGCCAGAGCTCGGGCCAGTCACAAATGTGGAGCCCCACCCCAACCTGAAAGCCATATTAATATGTTTAATAAATACTTTAAGAAATAAAACTTTCTATCATCTAAAAACAATGTAAATAAATATCAAAGAAAGGTTCACATTTTTGCTTGTTTATAATTTTTTAAATTATATAAGATTATCTCCCCACCTTCTGCATAGGTATGCTTGTAACATCTGAAAATGGTTAAAAGATGCAATTACATGTCCATCCCCTAACTTCCAATTACATATAATATTGTGGCGTATTGGCCCTATGAAGGAACTGTTGAGCCACAGAGGCCTTGGGGCACACGCACAACACATGATAATGATGAAAACGGGTCAGAAGCCAAAATATATTAAAGAACATTTCTTACCTCAAAAGTAATCTCCAAATCTGTTAATACATTTATTCCACTTGGAGATAAGACTGTCAATCCCATCCTTCAAAAAGCCTGTGGGCTGTCTACAGAACCACATCTTTACCCAGCCACACGTCTTCGTCCGATGAAAACCAATGTCCATAAATGTGTCTCTTCAGGTCTCCAAAAATGTGAAAATCCATGGGGAGAGATCTGGGCTGTAGGGGAGATGTTAAGCACTTCCCAACCAAATCTCTGTAGCGCATTCCTCACAGAGTTGGCAGTGGGGGGGTGCGCATTATCATGAAGAAGGGTAATGCCGTTCGNGAAAGCATGCTCTTCCTCATGGCATCGTTGCAAGTGACCCAGTGATGCAGCCATTCTCCAAGTCTTTTGTTCCTCCGTGAGTTGATGTGGAACCCACTGCGTGCAGATTTTGCGGTACAGCAGGTGTTTTGTCACAATGGTATGTACGGAACCGTGACTTATTCCCATCAAAAGACTAATTTCTTACACAGTGATCCGATGGTTTGCCTGGATATGACCATCCAACGCAGCAGTAACATCAGGAGTCATGACATGATGAGCCTGTCCTGGGCGAGCATCATCTTGCAGTGACACATCCCTCTCAGAATTACTTATGCCATGCCAGCACACACGAATGTGACATGCTGTGTTCGCCATAAACAACAGACATGGCACGATGAATTTCTCGTCCTCCTACTCCTTCAGCAGTCAAAAACAGCACTACACTTCGCTGTTCTTCTTTACCCACCTCCATTTCTGATGTTAGACGACCAGACGTAGCGCTAACCTTACTTCCAGCACAATAAACATGCAACTAGTGTGCAAGGGCACGTTGTCACTGTGCTTTCCCAAGTCCCCACCAGATGTTTGTACCGTAAGCAAATTCCAGTGTTACCAATTTGCGCGCCGTGTGAGTTATGCTTGGTGACCCATTTTCATTTGACTGTCCCTTATAATTTGATTTGAAGTTTCATGGTGACATGTTGTGTCATTCAATGCCATGTCATAAATGTCACAATTTTACATCATGTGAAAACTAGCCCTGGTTTGCTTGGGTTTAATGCATGATATGTCTGAATAAGAATATTTTATATTTTATTTTACTACAACAGGTTCTATATCCAATATTTTATAAGTTGACCTTGTATGGATTAACGGAATGCTAATAAATATGTATGTATGACCAGGCCTACATGCTGATATGACTTATGTGTGAATTCTGAGTGTAGTAATGTGTATATATAAATATATATATACAGGGTGTCCCAGGAGGAATGTGCCAAACTTCGGGAGGGTGTTCCTTATGTTAAAGTATGCCGATATAACCCAAAACACCTATGTCCAAAGTTGAACGGTTACGGAGATAATGGCCCAAGAAAAGTGTGGTCTTCTGGCAGGTCCAAGCACTGTACCTCGCTGTACCTCTCAGCTGAGAGCCCTTATCTATGTTTGTCCTTGAGTGCGATGATACTCCCTAGCCGTGCTTATGTAGTTGGCTCATACCAGAACGCGCAGTCAGCACGTTACGTCATCNNTATATATATATATATGATGAGGGACAGAGACTGACACACAATATAATATAATATATACTGACGGGGTTGAGTGTTAATTCAAGAACTGGGTACAGACCCCCTAAGACCATAAGCCCACACTGAAACAGTACCCATCTCCTCAATTCTAGCGACTTGTTTCTTCAGTCACAGATGTCTCTCTACTATCTTTCAAGGCTGCCCTAACTTTTGGAAAGCATAATATTTCAAATGTGACAGATATTAATTCATTAACCACAGCACATAAAACACACCAGAAGCATAAAATACGGCTGAATATGTACATTTAAGAGGGCTACATACTATGATATGTCACTTACAGGCTGGATGGAGTCAAATATTTGACCAACTGTGTTGTTGTCACCAGGCACTGAAGGTCTTTGATCCCTTCCACGGCCTGCTGGCGAGTCCTCATTGAGATCAACGTGGAACAAATAGAAGATGACACCAAACATAGCTGGTCCCAACCCATTACATAAGCCTCGCATACCAGTCACCATGCCCTGCACCAGTCCTGTAACAATGTTACTTAGATGGTACATCACATTAATAAATACTGGTTACTTTTGAAAATATCTATAGATTATTTTTTTAAATGCGGGAAAAAAACAGTGCAACAAACTTCCAAAGATAACTACTATATATCTGCACTGTGTCACGATCTGTGGTAATAATGGCTTTCTTTTCTCCTTGCCATGTGCTGAAACTCTGATGAAACACAACATGGGTAGGTCATCATTTGATAGTATGGCTGAACAAATACCAAAGCCTAATGTTTTGAGCCATGTTCTACCTAATGGCCTGAAGACTGGCCAATTCAGCCCAGTATCCTCCCCACCTTTATCCCACCCTGAGGCATCAGTGCTGTCACTTCCTTGTTTATGTAATCCCATCATTCCCATGTACCATGTGATTTTCCCTTCCTCTAGTTGTTTGGAATGAAAACATTTTGCCTAGGTATCAAGGGTTGGAAATTTGTCTTAACACTTTGCGGACCGTGCAACCTTTAAAAGGTTTTTCGCTTTTAAACATGGCAGACTGTTCGCCTGTTAACAGGCTTTTAGAACACGATAAGTTGCAACACGCTATACATCGCTCTGGCACCACCTTCATCGTGCACAACCACCTGCAGATGCGTGATAAGACTGGAATATTTAGTTAGCAGTCAGTAACTTGACCTCGCTGTTTACTTAACCGACTATAAAGGAAAATGCTTTGCTTTCTTCAAGCTGTGTATCAGCCAGTAGCTAGTGGGGAGAATGGATCAAGGACAAATTCTCCTCTGAAGACCTAGCTGACCTGGCTTGTGTGTGAGACGTGTAGTAATGGTGATTCAGAGAGCGGCAGTGACAGGGGAGAACAAAGAATTGTGGCCATAGAAAGTAAAAGTGACAGTAGCTCCGACGATAATGCAGGTAATAACATTGCGTGTAGTAACATTGCGGGGACAGCAAAAAAATTTAAAAAAATCTAAACCCTGATTCAAAATTGAAATACAAAGCATTTCTGATGAATGTGGCAAAGACTTGGGCTACAGACCAGATGGTGGCGAAATAACCACAGTCAGACTTAGTGCGACCTAGCCCATCAACTCCCACCTCACATAGGCCTCATGTGGACACCACTGGGCGACTCTCGGGTGATATGTGGAAACATACCCTCGTGAAAATTGTGAAGAGTGAACATTCCAACGGGAAGCATCCTTCTAGGCAATGCAATGTCTGCACAGTTCACAAAAAAAGGACTATAACTGTCTACATTTGCAAGTGTGTTATGCCACTTCACAAAGGGGAGTGTTTCCAGAAATAACACACCCCCAAGCACGTCTAGCAGCATTGGTAAGGGTTCTCCAAAAATTTTCGTTCATAAAATTAATTATGAGATTTTACATTAATTTTTAAAGTGAACAGTGCACAAGTTAGGGTAGTAGATATAAAAATGCCGGTCCCCAGGGTGATCTAAATATTTAAATTGCCAGTCCACAAAGTGTTAAGTTTGCCAGCAGCAAGTGTGGATGGTGATGGGATTCTGTTTAGGTTGTTCTTCTAAATTCTGTTTGGATTCTCATACTGGCTGTTGAGGGCGAGATGTGTGCCAGGAGTGTTGCAACAAGGTTTGCTGGCGATTTATACTACTATGTGATTGGGCTTGTATTGCCCCATTTTTAGTGAACTGAGTTTCAAAACACAATGACAGTTTTGCTGTGGTTTGTGTGGTATGTGTGTAGGCTTCCACTGCCCAATTTGTGTTTCTGTTCAATGTGACAATGGGCTAACATTATGAGTGGTGTGTTATGTTCTTTTCTGGGGTTTCTGTCTGGACTGACCAAGATGATTACGGTTACTGGTTTGATTATGTTGCAAAAATGAAGTACTGTCAGAAAGTTCTAATGTTTTTATTGTTTGCTAATGTGGCTGAGTCATACTGAAATTATTATGCTATTTTGTTATGCTAATTATTGTGTTATATTTATTTATTCACTTGTTGGTATTATTTACTCTTATTAAATTGTTCTTCCAGAGATAGCAATTTTTCTTGAATGATGCTCAAAGCTTGGACACCACAACCCACCAGGGGAGCAATAAGAACACAACAAGCAACCAGTGACAAATGCAGTGATCATCCCCTTAAACTGGCTAAGGGTAAAGAGGGAGCAGCTGTTAACTTTCATTCTGAGAATACTTTCATCAGTGTTTTAATTGTTACAGTTCACACCATACGAGATGCTGGGCTGTGAAATGAAAAATTAGAATGTCCCAACCCACATTTTTTAGATAATGGGTTTGTGACATTCTAGGCAATTGTGCCTCATTTCAAATGGAAGAGTTATTTCATGTGTGATTCAGTGGTCAGTGTTCACAATATGAACAAGGGATCACAGTGGCAAAACCATGAAACATCAGGCTACAATGTACTGAACGCCTGATAAAACATACAAAGAAAAGCTATCACCAAGCAATATCACTGCTGACTTGAATTCAGATTGGTCTGAATCCTGGGTGGGATTCCAACTATTCTGCCTGAGGTTTTACATGGGTTCCTTAATCCCTTGAAGCAAATGCTAGGATATTGCATTCAAATAGGCCACTGAAATTTTCTCCCCAGTCATTTCAGTTCCACTAATGTGATTATACATGACATACAAATTTTCAGATGAAAAGTACAGTCATGCAGCAGAAGGAAAGCTTGAGAATGGAGACACTGTGTAGCCAGCCATAATACATGGCAGTAATAGTCAACAGCACCAAGTGTCTGCAGTTAGTTGATTAGACTGACATGAAAATAAATGAAAAGTCCTACTTCCATTCTCAGGACATATAAATTCTTATCAGTTTCAGTCCTTTCACATCTTGTGGTTCAGAATGATCTCAGAGAAATTTCTGACTTTCCTTGGTCAGGAATCTTACCCGAAGAGGTGAGAGAACTGCCTTGACCTCAGATCACTCCATACAGACAGCCCCTTCTACCATCAAGCAACCCAAATTAGCATTAAATACAATAAGTACTGGCACTCAGGAGGGGAAAAAAGTGCAGTCTTAGCATGTTTCATGAAAGACAAAGAAAGAAGGGCAAAGTTCGATGCTATGTAGGGATGTGTTTTACTCTTTACTTTAAGTTGCACTTCATAAATTTGCCTCTCTGGAAGAGTGTCTCCTGCTAAAAGGAGGAAATTAAGAGATTCAACTCGGGTAAAGCTTGCTACAATTCAGTCCGGAACCTTCTGTCTTCTCGTCTGCTGTCAAAAACATAAAAATTAGAATACAAAAACTATAATTTTGCCTGTGGGTCTGTATGGGTATGAAACTTCGTCTCTCACATTAAGAGAGGAACAGAGACTGAGGGTGTTTGAGAAGAGTGTGTTGAGGAGAATATTTGGACCAAAGAGGGATGAAGTGATGGGAGACTGGAGAAAACTGCACAACGAGGGGATTCATAACTTGTACTCTTCTCCAAGTATAATCAGAATGATTAAGTCAAGGAGGATGAGATGGGCAGGGCATGTAACATGAATTGGGGAGAAGAGGAATGCATATAGGATATTGGTGGGAAAGCCAGAAGGAAAGAGACCACTGGGAAGAACAAGGACTATGTGAGTGGACAATATTAAAATCGATCTTAGAGAGATAGGACAGGATGATATGGACTGGACTGATCTGGCTCAGGGTATGAACCAGTGGAGGGCTCTTGTGAACATGGTAATGAACCTTCGGGTTTCATAAAATGCTGGGAAGCTCTTGAATATCTGCAGAATTGGCAGCTTCTCAAGAAGGGCTCAGCTCCATGAGTGGGTGAAAGAATGTCTAGCATTACACTGGAACAAGTGGAACACACAAATACTGAACTTAGAATAAAATTACTGTCATTAATGTATTGACATTTTTTTGACAACAGATTTATCAAATGAGAAGGTTAAGAGGGGGTGTGAATTTCATGAGGACTGAGGAGATAAAGGTGTTTTTCAAGCACCATTAGATACACAGGTTTCATTCTGACGTTTCATGGCACCAGAAAGTATGAATGGTTCCTCTGGAGAGAATTATAAATATCTCGAACATTTAGAGCCCTAAGCAGGCATGTTAGTAAGTGAAGTCACTCGTTAGAAGTGGTTAATTCAATCAGAAATAAATCTTTGCTATTCTCCGATGCTCAGAGAAACATTTTAGGAAAACACATTCATCACTGAAGTGACAGATTTAATAAAAATATCTTGATCAAATAATAAGGTTTAGGGGATATAAATTTTACACATGGGTCAATGAGATAAGCAGAAGTCTTTCTGAAGTGTCATTAGACATTTGGGTCTCATCTGTTGGTCTATGGAACTGCAAAGTAAGATGGCTGCTTAGAGAAAACCATGAATATTGCAACATATTTTCAACCTTCAGAATGTTAGGAAGCAGAATTATACTTTATAAGCATATGATTCAATAATAAACAAACCTCAGACATTCTTGGATGTCAAGAGAAACATTTCACACACATATGGTGAGAACTTATTTTTACCTAGTGAATATAAACAAATGTTAATACCATGATGTAACATGACTGTTCCAGTTCAGCTGGCTACTACTTCATACAAAAAGAAAGGCTTTCCTTTTCAGCTGATAAACAGAAGATATATACTGTAACATGTACAGCCATTGTTAAGCAATGACAGAGATATGTGTGTGAATATACAAGGATGTTTTTGGGCAATGGCTCAGTAAACATGTTCCTGTTGCTAGGCAGCTGCAACAGCTGGACTACAACAGTGGAAACGGGGCGTTTTCTATGTGGCCCATGTCAGGATGTTATAAGCAGACAGTTTGAAGCAACGACTTCAGTTGCACAGTGATAATCAGCAGGCAACAGCATGACCACAGAAGCTGAAAAATGTCCACTGTTAAGATCTGTTACCAGGAAATGACTAGTGAAAGCAGACTGAGAAGACTTAGCGTGTAGTGATTTGCAGTGTGGAAATCAGCAAGAGCGTTATAGCTATTCGTAATTATGACTTGTAAGTGGTCAATAAATCGAATTATCCAAAACCCTGTCTACAGTCACCCCTAAGTCATGACAGTACCATGACATGATGGCTGAAAGTCAGAATGGAATGAACAAAATTGGCTAATGATAGGCAATGACCTGTAAACACGTGCCTGTGACAACGGTCCTGGAAGAAGTTGGCTGCTGCTCCTGTAAAGGGTTGACCCGCCATCCTACTGCTGCACCACGCAAGGGACACAGTTATAAGTGACCAGGCAAGGACAAAGGCTGTGCCAAGAACTGAGAAAGGACAATGAAAAACCATAAGACATCACCAGAATAAGGAACCGGGGTGCAAGATAGCAGCTATGTCTGAGGAAGGAAAGGACAACTGGCAATAGCATCAGAGGATGAAGCAGGAAACAGGCTACATCTGGGAAGCGTGAAGACATTATATGAGGCCCACAGAGGAACTCTTGAGTTGCAGGTCATGAAGTGAGCAGTAGGGACTACCATTAGACTGTGGAAAATGAATGCCAGGATCCTGTGGAGGGGGTCAGTCCCTTCTGAAATGAAAGATGAAATGGTACACAGAGTAGGAGCCATAAGAGCACTGACTACTCTCAGAAATTTTGGCTACACCAACAGGAGGAAGATGTTGATTAACGTGGACTGACTGGTACCTTACGAGGTAACCACTCAGGACAAACAGCCTTAACCCTTTTCCAGTCATGTGTTAATATACAACTGACATGGCGACAGTACTTCCTGGAACGAATGTTGATACATGATCAACAAAATTTCTTTCACGTTTCTCTGGTCATATGTCCATCATATGTTGCTACTGACCATTCTAGCTGTACAAACACTTTCATGAATGGTTTGTCTGCCTGCCTCTGCCATCTGGACGTCGTAATTTGACCGTTTTGAGGAACGAATTCCATTTATATATTACAGCATGTCACATGTTAACAGCATGTTTTTACTTCCGACCAAACCTCAGCCCTCTTGACTGAAAAAACAGATATATAATCCCTTGTGTGATGAGGATGAAGAATCTATTAGTTATATGTTAAATGAAGAACTTGATTTTGACTCTGATGATGAGATGAATCTGGAAATTGGAGGAGAAACTGCATGTGAAGAATCAAGGAATGAAATGTCAGAAAATGAAAGTAAAACAAGTGTTGTAAAGACTACTGGTCTAGTGACAGGAAAACAGAGATAACAGTTTCAGAAAAAGTTTTTGCCATATAAAACATTGCAATAGATGAATCAACAGTTGGATTCAAGCAGAACATAAATTTTGAAACTTATAATAATAATAAAAAAACAGTGAAGTGGGGCACCGGATTATTTGTATTAGCTGATAGTGACACTGGTTATGTTCACAATATAATTCTAAATTATGGAAAAATTACATGTGATGTGTGTAAGTTACAATACTCTGAAAAACTGTTCATTAAAGAATAGTTCTTTCCCTGATGGACACACTGTGACTCAGTGTGTCTGGTACTGAACACTACCGCCATTTCACTGACAGATGCTATAGCAATGCTGAGTTGGCTCAAGTATTGGACAATTGAAAATGTAAGTATACATTTTGCTTTTTCACTTTACACCCTTGTTGCACCAACTTTTCGAGCAAAAGCAGTCTCCTAGTGGTTCGGCAGGCACATCCTGGCTGCAGAAATTTTTCATAATGCTATGACCAGAAAGGGTTATGGAAGGGGCAGCAGGAGCAGTTGAAGAGTAAACACCATGCAAACTGAGCAATGAGGAGGAAGGTGAGAACGATCACAGATGTTACAAGTACCGCCCTCGGAAAATATGAAACAGCGGTATGCATGTAAGGCATTTCGAATGAATAATCTTAAAAAGGGAGCAATGTAATGTGTGCAGCCATTGCTATGCAATGACCAAGAAATGGGCAAATATACAATGCCATTTCTGGGCAATGGCTTGGTAAACGCATTTCCGCTGTTAGACAGCCGCAAAAGTTGGACTACGACAATGGGAACAGGGTGTTTCCTATGTGGTAGCATTACAGTTATTGGTAGTTACAACCTGTAAGCGGTCAGTACTGCCAATTATTCAAAACCCCAACTACACTCACCACTAAATCATGACATTACCAAAACATGACAGGTGCAAGCCAGTAGTGGGAACAATAGATGTGGCCAGTGATAGGCAATGACATGTAAACACATGTCCGTGGCAAAAACAGAGGAACTGCTGCCAGTGGTGCTTTCTGTGCAGAATGTGCCAAGGCTATACAGCAGAGACGACAAGAGCTGACAGTCAGCTGGAGGTCAGAGTTGAATCATAAGCAGTCACTACCTACAAATGACTGGTGAGCAAACAGAAGACTTTATATGTGCTATAGCTGTAGTGACCTATGGAGTGTGTAAATTAGAGAGACTGTTATAGTTATTTCTAGTTACAAGTTATAAGCATGCAATAAATCTAATTATTAATCCAAACTTCTTGTTGAGTCACTAACGCGTGATGATATATTTATTTATGCTATGTTCTGATTCATTTTAAGCTCACCACAGTGAAAATCTGTTACAACCAAATGCTTAAAATGGATATGAAACATCTTCAGCAGCTGCCAACTAGAAAGGTTAAAAAAAAGTTAGTATTAACAGCTCTATTTACCTTGCTTGTCTGCATCAGAGTGCATTGAAACAAAGGCACTAATGGCCGGGTATGTGATGCTGCTGACAGAGGCCAATACACCCGCTGCCCACATCATCCTGAAAACAGGAGGAAATAAACTACAGGAACAAAATTATCTTTAAAAACAAAATAAACAGCATGCATAAGATCTGAAGCTTTTGCTTAATTATGTGTTACCTAATGTCTGTGTCTGTGATGAATATTACCCGCATATTCCATTATGTCTAACCATCAAAGGAGATTTATTATACATGATGGTGCATGAAGTGATCCAGTATGTTATCTGTTAATAAAATCTTTACTTCAATTGCAATACCAGAAACTAACATACAAAAAGAAAAACCATTGCATGGAGATTTATCCTCTAAGAATCAAGCGTTCAATACGGCCACCATTACTTCCGGAAACTTCAACATGAACTGTGATGTTGCTGATTATTCAACGGCATGTGTCCTCAGTTATCTTGTCACAGGCCTGAATGATTAGTGTTCTCAATTTCATCAATGTTTGCAGCCTTTTCAGAAGAATCTTTTTCTTAAGGAATCCCCAAAGAAAATAGTCACATGGGTTTAAATCAGGACTATTGGGGGGTCAGATCTGTCCACATGTGAAATGAACAGGAACTCATTTTGAAGTGACATGTGAGTCGAGAGTGTCATGCAGAAAGTCCCAAACAACATTTGCTGTGTGCGGCCTGGCTCCATCCTGCATGCACCATTGAGTATGTAACAGCAAACCTGTAGCAAGGAGGTGAGGCACAAAAGTATTGTGCAACAAGCTTAAATAGTGTTCACTGTTCACTGTATCTTCAAAGAAAACTGGTCCTAGTAGTCCATGACTCGAAAAAGTGACCCACTCTGTAATTCTGGTGCATGATGCACCTTCTCATGAATCACATGTGGATTCCCTGACAGCCAAAATCACACATTTTGTTTATTAACCACACCATACAAGAGGAAGTGTGCCTCATCAGAAAACCAAACATTGTTGAATGATACCTCATTATTCTGAGCCCATTCAGCAAATGCCATTCCTTGATGTTTGTTCTGAACTGTAAGTTTAGGCAACAATATCATTTTGTATGGATATAAATTCAAATCACTTTTCAATATTCATTGCACCGAATGAAGGCATCCATTGTGTTTGAAAACGTGCACAAAACTGCCTCTGTCTGCCTACAACACTTCTTGTCTCAGTAAAGGACAACACTGTTTTTATGAGTGGTTTTACAGTCTTCCTTTGTTAACCATCTTGCGTAAACTGGTGCATGAGCAGGAACAGCATAATACTAGCACACCCAGGAAGAGTAAGAACTAGTCTTCATGATCTATTGTGTTACCATGTTACAACACACCTTTCTTTGCATGGTTCAATACTTAATGCTAAATCAAATACTGGATCATTTCATACACAACCCTGTATATTCCCACTTGAAAACAGTACACCAATAGTCACCTCACTGGGACTACAATCGCACATAAAATTACTGAAATCTGAGAGGTCAAGTTGTTTGACATGGAATGACACAAAACTGAAATTGCATACATAAAAGCTGCAGGTAGCAGGAAGAGAACACTCTTAGTCTTATAACAGAAGTGCTTGCACTACCCATAAAAGGTGTATTCAGCATCATTTTACTCAAACAAATTATTCATTTCCTTTAGCTGGTACTAAGCCTACAGAAAAGAGTGGAGGAAAGAAATTCATGTCCCAAATCAGGTTCTTAAAACTTTTTTGAAATTTTGGAAAATACAATTACAAAACCTGATATTTCAGGCTCCTCTAAATGATTCTATATAAAACAAATATGTACCAACCTTGAGAATTCATTCACTGCTGCTATTTCTTGGCTTATTTAATGATAATGTGTAAATTATATTGGATACACAGACCAAATAAAAATTATGGCACGATTATAAATGGGAAATTGGGAAAGATGTGGCAAGATGTCTTAGACTATTTTAGCCCTTTGCACCCCACAAACCAATCAGATAGGCTAGGTGGATTTGTGTTAAAACTGCTACAGCTGAAGAGATAAGTTCAACATTAATCACTTACCATAACAATTCTGTTAACAGCTGGCATCAACTGTTATATACTGATATTTAGAGGAAGGAACATGCTTTCATATTATCTGTAACTGTGGTGTTTTGCAACTAATCTGAGGAAGTATTATGGGTTTTGGTGTTTCTAGCAGGTAATTTCGTGGTGTAGGTTGGCAGTTAGGTGGTACATCGGTGATATCTACTGAGATGGACTGAAGAAAGCCATAAAACCACTCAAATCATATTTATTTACTTACTTTTCTTCATCTCTCCCTGTATTAGGCTCAACTGTACTGTGACAGGGTGTTAGAAACCAGATCATCATCCACATCTTCATACCCTGAGTGGGCCTTTTATGTTTCATGGTACACTACCAGAATTTATCTGAATACACTTTCTATGTAATTCATTCTACAGCAAGGTATAATTCTATTACTGAACAAATCTCTAATTTTTATTTCATAATTTCATTTGTGATTGAAACAGTGAATGACTTTTAATAGCAGGAGAAATTTGATTTTGGTTTGTTTACTTCCACTGACCCAGAATTTAATTTATAGCCGAGGGGTATAGCTAAAAGAACCAAGGCTGGACAAAACTTACCATGTCTGTGACCCAAATCCATACCACATGAGTTGGAGCATCTCAAACACAAGCCCAACCATAATAGTATGCTTAGGACCAAGAGACCGCATTAAGAAACCCAACACTATCTGGGCACAGACAGACAGGATGCCAACTGTTGCAATAAATACAGCGACCATCACAACACTGAACCCCATTACCTGCAATGATTATGATGTTATGTATTCATAAATACAGTGTACCACTGACACTACAAGAATCATTCTAATGGAAAACTTTGTTCCCTAACTTTGAATTACATATAACATGATATAACACTAAGTCTGAATAATGATGCAGGTAAGGCAATATTTCTTCTTCTTTGGAGTGGTTTTCCTAGGAATAAGAAAATAGGGATAATATCTCAACAGTCTGTCAATAATTTCCTTAAACTTGCATAACCCCTTCTACTTGCAATCAATTGCTGATCAGAAGCTGTCCTTCATAAGTAAAAGCATCATCCCTATTTGCTTGAAGCTCACAAGTCCTGCTCATATTTTGCCCATAATCCTCTGCATGTGCATGTGAGAATAAACATGTCAGTTCACAACTTTGGGAAGTGGATACATACATCCATGCATTTTTTACCTTGACATTCATCTTGACCTGTCCACTTTACCCCCAAGGATCGTCCCCATATTCTCTGGCTAGGAGGCTTAGCGTGCATTGGAACCATTCTGGATGATGTGGAGGGGTGGAAAAATTTTGCCCCCAATGGAACTCGAACTCTGACCTAGTGGCCTTCTAGCCCATAGCCAGTCGCTATAATGACTGCACTCTCCTGGTTCCCATGACAATGATGTTGCAACATTAATCCAGAAGCTATAATAATGTGACTCAATTTTCACGGTGAAAACAAACCTTTAGGCCCCCCATACACACACAGTTTGGCCTTCCGATCGACCTTACAGGCAAAACTGTGACAGTTTACCCCCTCCCTTTCCTCCCCATATACGCGCAGATAAAGCGGCAGGCTTCATGCAACAATCACGGTCTTCCAGCCTATAATGTTGAGTCACACACATCACGTGCTACGGTCCTGCATGCAGAACTGACGGACTGACGGGTTTCCCACAGGCCAACAGTCCAAACGATTGGCCGGCCGGTCACACCACATGTCAGTTTTGCCTTTCAGTCTTCAACTGTGCAGGCCGAACTGGAGGCCAAACTGTGTGTGTATGGGGGCCCTTAGTTTGTTTAAATACAGTATACATAAGGTGGTTCAAATATGATTGGGACTAATTTGTGTGTAAACAAGCCACACTGCGCAGCAGCTGTGCGACTTTGAGAGAGTGACGCCACAAACTCCACCCTCCCTCCTGTTCGGGTTAAACCTGTTCAGTCCTGTCTGGGAGTTGCTAGAATGATGAGCAAACAGAAGGTACTGCGGAGCATGGAACAACGCGTTGTGATCAAATTCCTTGGAGAAAATGGCCTGTCCACTGAAATTCACCACAGACTCCAACAACAGTATGGGGAAGAGTGTCTGTCACGGACCCGTTTATTTGAGTGGTGTAAGTGCTTCAAAGAGGGCAGAGAGCACGCGGAGAATGAACTGCATGATCGTTGGCTGTGAACATCCACCACTGAGCCAAACACTGATCGTGCAGACGAGCTTATTCGTGAGAACAGGCGCATTACTATCAAGGAACTTGAAGCAATGCTGTCCATCAGTGTTGGTAGTGTAGAAGGCATCATGAAATACCACTTGCACTATCGCAAGGTGAATGCACGGTGGGTACCACACACTTTGACAAATGTGAACAAAATGAGGCGCATCCAAGCTGCCAGTCGTCTCCTACAGCACTTTGAAGTCGAAGGTGATGCATTTTTTAAGTCTGCAGTGACCACCGATGAAACGTGGGCGCACTACTTCATTCCCGAGTCCCAGCAGTCATCATGCAAGTGGCAGCATACCAGTTCTCCCAAACCCAAGAGAGCGCGAAGGAGCTGTTTGGCAGGAAAATTGATGGAAACATTCTTCTGGGACTGGCAGGGGGGTTATCCATGTAGACTTTCTGACAGATGCCAGAACAGTCAGTGCAGCTTATTACTCAAACCTCCTGGCAACAGACATGAAGGAAAAGATCTGATCCAAGTGGAAGACAGGTGGAAAGCGGGTAGCCTTTCTTCAAGACAATGCACGCCCCATATGGCCAAAACAATATTGGAAACCCTCCGGAAATTGAAATTGAACCTTCTGACACATCCACCATACAGTCCCAATTTTGCTCCCAAGTGATTTCTACCTGTTCGGAAGGCTCAAATCAGACTTGCAAGGCATGCGGTTTGTGGACAACAACGCCGTCATCCAGAATGTTCGGGAGTGGATATGCCGCCAACCACAAGACTTTTTTGAAAGGGCATCAGGATGCTTCCAGAACGTTGGAAAAAAGTGCTGACTTAGGAGGGGACTCCGGGGTCCGTGAGAGACACTCTTCTCCATACTGTTGTTGGAGTCTGTGGTCAATTTCAGCGGAGAGGACGTTTTCTCCGAGGAATTTGATCACAATGCGTTGTTCCACGCTCCACGGTACCTTCTGTATGCTCATCCCTCTAGCAACTCTCAGACAGCACTGAACAGGTTCTAACCATAACAGGAGGGAGAGTGGAGGTTGTGGCTACAATCTCTCATGGTCGCACAGCTGCTGCGCAGTGCGGCTTCTTTACAAAAAAATCAGTCCCGGTCATATTTGAACCACCTAGTATAAGGACAAACCTAGTGGACTGTTGGGGAAATACAGAGGATGTTATGTAATGTACATCTCTCAGTGGTCAAAACTTAGAGGGAGAGAGCGGCTCACATATTCTGGTATGAGAACTTTCTCCTAGGCAAGGGTAGGACACAGATGGTGGGCTACGGGGATGTTCACAGACACCTAGCTGTATGTTATGTAACTCAGGAAGCAGAGTTACAAGTATGGAAGTATAGTTGATGCAAAAATTTACGGGAAAATCGTGATTGCCAATTATGAATCACTCCTCATGATGAGGGTCCAGGAAAAAACAACCTTTGTTTTACACAGTGGTTTTCCATACATGTAGCGCTATGAAACTGATAGCAACAAGGCTTTCTGTAGCTATAATGAAGACTGCATAATAAGCTACAGTTGCTCTACTGCAGTTTCACTATAATACTGAATAATCTTTTGCAGGTCAAGACTAAATAAGAACTAATACAGCACCCACTGCTGTATAAAGGATTGACCCATTTGCTGTTCTGATGTGGTAAAATCCTGTCATATCAATCACACTTCTTAGGAATTCAATGTCTTTTTCATGGACTACTAGACATTGTGCTGAAAGCAATCTCAGTGAAGGGGGCTTCTTGACAAAGAAGGGTGTAAAGCTTCAAGTAAGTTCTCAAGATAAACTGCATAAAATAGTCCATATTTAACTGAGAAACCAACAGCCAAAGAAGCATGCTTAGCTAGGAAACAATTCAGCTGGAGGTTTCAAGTTCTCACAGTCATGAGTGTTAAGACTGTGGAATTCTGGGACATAACTGTATGTAGTCTGGCAGATCACTTCTTCTACCCTCAAGACCAAGGCAGTAGGTCCCTCCAAAATACTGGCACCCATCTACCAAACTATACAGTGTCACTGCCCAGAAAACTGTATTCTTAATACTGTAGTTCACTGGGAATGATTTCTGTGAAGAAAGTAACCTCAAGGAACATATATCAATGTATAAATCCTGTATATGCAGGGCACTTCTAACTTCTTCATATTTAATTACAAAGGTGCCAGCATTTCAGAGGAATATAGAGTCTCCATCTTCATGGTTCAACCCCTGACTTTTACTGTTGATTATAAATTCACATACCTAAATTTAGCATTAACAACACATTTGTTGGACTCAAAGCTGTAAAAATGGAAAAGGGGGCCAGGTTAAGATCTACCCAGAAATTGTTTACTTTCTTATAACCTTAATTACAACCCAATGGGACTTACAGTAACACACATCAGCAAGTGTTCAACAGTTCTGTATACACATGTTTAGTTATAATCATTTTTCCAGGATTTATTTTTCATAAGTAAAAATGTATGAATAAGACAACTTCACTTACTGAGCTAACGTCAATAAATGTGCAACAAAATTATAACAAGATCATAAACAACAACTCACCAGTTTGAGGTATACAAAGATACAAGAATATTGGCCAGCCTCTGGCAAGTAAGACAGAAACACTGTCACACAAAGCATGAGGATTGTATGGTCCTTGCCAACCTTCCTCAGGGCCTGAAACATTACATCATTATCATCAGCAGACACACATAATTACTTCTGTGGTGTGTGTAGTGAACACACTCCTCTATCATCTCCTAATAGAATGTACACCTTGAGTGCTAGTTCTGGTATTTGAGAACCACTGCCTGAGAAAACCTGGATCTAGGACCTTCGTGAAATACTGTTTGGTGTTGTTTCAAAACAGTCTTGGAGGTTTCTTTTGCTCCTCCAGTGGGCAGCCTTTCAACATAAAGTGTAGCAGGCTAAGTTTCAACTGAGTTCCCAACAGATTGAGGGGTGTTTCACCAGTATGACATACATTGTATCAGCACAGGGTTTTGCACCTTTTCATTCACTTAATTTGTTTTGGGGTTTCTGTCTGTTATCATATTTTGTATGCACTGTTGTTTCTGATGATACATTTACTTCCTTATTTGGTATCCTTTGACTTTTATTTAGTTATGCTGCACTTCACTGACTGACTACTGAACTGACCCACGCCTATCGCTAGCAGCACAGCAAACTCTGAATACTGATATTACAAAGAATGGAATACGGCTGAAAGAAAAATGTGATCTACCACTCCATTTGGAGCAGGAATAGCTCAGTTAGTACTGTGATGGACCATGGGTTGGACGGCCAAGGTTTGATTCCCAGTAGGAGCATGATTTTCTCTTCTCCACACCTTCCAGATCAGCTCTGGGGTTCACCCAGCCTCCTATCCAACAGGTACCACGGGCAATTTCACTGAGGGAGAGTGGCTGGAGTGTGAAGCTGACCACTCACCTCCACCTAGCACCAAGGTCCTGAATGGTGGAGCTACATCTCCACTTCTTTGTATGTCTTCATGGTATAGTGCTTAATTAACTAAGCACAGGGACAACTTTACTTTACCATTCAATACATAAAAGAAGTTCCAAGACATACTGAATACTATTACGGATCAAAACCAGAATCAGCAGTTCTGAGGAAATGTTTCCATGTAACATACTGTGTTACCATACACAGTGGAACCACCATTTAATGTAAGATAAAAGATAAAGTTGTCCCTGCACTTAATTAATTAAGCTCTATACTATGAAGATGTAAGATGAAGTGGAGGTATAGCTCTACCATTTTTGACCTTGGCAGTAAATGGATGTCAGCTTTGTGCCTAGACACTTTCCTCCTGGGGAAAGAGCCCCCAGTCCCCATTTGACAGGGGGCTGGGTGGCTCCCAGAGCTGACCTGGAAGCTGTGGAGAAGAAACAGATATCTTGCCCCTGCTGAGAATCAAAACCTATTTCTCAGCCATCCAACCTGCAGCCCATGGCTATACCAACCGAGCTATCGCCCCCAATTAATGTTCCTTAATTTGATGCTTTCTCACCTCCAGTGTTTAATTTCCAATCCCAAGTCAAAAATTCCAGCATCAACATTACCTCCATTTAAGGAATTCTTGAGTTTGGTGCTCAAATCCACTGCTCCCCAAAGAAACCTTAAAGTACCATTTCACCAGTATTACTGTCAATGAAATATTTTGTTAAAATACTACAGTGATATACTGCAGCCTGTCCATATAAATATGGCTCTATGCTTAAGTAGGAATCAAGAGTTAACTAAAGACTAAGATACATGGACAATATTTTGGGTGATGGATGGAATAAAGAAGGTTGCAATATTAAAAAAGAAACAGTCACATGGGTCACACAGTTTAAAAAATCTTTGTGCCAGTGTTTAGGTTTCTATGGCATGTAAAAAGAAGTCGTCCCTGTAAAAGGCTGTGGAGGCCCCCACATTTTCTACACAATCAGCTCACAGATGGCGGTGAGGTTGTCAGCCTTAAGCACTGGCTGCCCTTTACCACAAGAAAGATTCCTGGCACTCATTTCTGTTAGTGACTGACTTGACCCCAGGGCCATAGTGCAGCTGGAAGGATTAGGTCAACTGAAAAATTCAAGGACATCATCAGGAACTTAACCAGCTTGTAGCATAGTGTCTCAACCAACTATGCTACTGCGTGCCACGCTAAGGAATGCACTCCCTGAAAATATCTCTCTTTAATGAGCACAATAACTGTGACAACAGTGAAGTATTCAGATGGTTTGTAAAATTTAGCAGAGGCATTCACTAAGCATCAGACTTGTCTAGCTGATTCACACCACATAAAAACACAGAAATCTCAGTAGAGTGTAATCAGGATTTTATGTTGCTCAAGGAACAATTTAAAATGAATGTAAAATCAAAGCAAAGAAGATTCATGTAGCTACTGAAATTAAATACACTAAATTAATACTGTGCTACATTAAAAATATAATATATTTCACTTCTTCCACATGTCCATTAAAGTAAGTTGCTGCTTCTTCACATTCTGCTGCACCCCGTACATCTTGTTCTCAGCGATACTGAGGGCAGTCATCATGTTATCAAAGAGATCAGATTTAATGAGGTATTTCCTCACAGTCTCAATGTCCTCCAGTGAAGACAAAATTGTTTCAGGTGGTTCACTTTTACCAACATCTTCTTCCCTCTTGTCCTCCTCCTCAGACACAACAGATGTAAACTTTGTATTCCATCATTTGTTCTAATGTATGCATCTCACATGTTACAACACCATTGTCACAGGATATATATTCTTGAAATGATACACCTGCTTTCAGCTGACCCCAGTCATCTTTGGCTATGCTTAGTTCTCTTCCATCTTCATAACCATTTGTCTGATTTAAACTGAAAACAGTTTACTAATGTCACACGTGTGACACCGCCATGATTCCACAGTGAATGCTGCACATCCAGAACATTCACCTTCATGAGTGCTGGATATAGAAATAGTTCTTTCTGCAAGTTGCTTGTAATAATAATGTTTGAATGCCCCTATTATTCCTTGGTCAAATGGCTGGAGAATCCTGGTGCAGGTTGGGAGAAAAAGCACAACTTTCACATTCACTTGTGTCTTGGGGACAAGAAGCACAACAGTGAAAAGGGAGGGGGGAACTTCATGCTTTGGGACACTATTTTGGCATCTAAATCCCTTGAATGGCCTGTGTAACCCATGCTTTCTGTTGGCTACTTATTTCGTGTTCAATTTCCTGACATTTTTTAAACAACTAGGGTTCTCATTCTTCCCAGTATTGTCTGTCAGACTCATCTGCATTTCAGGCAAACAGAATCATTACCTTCTACTTGAAATTATTTCCACTATTGCAAAGACTCCCTTTCAAACTCAGTGTCTTGTTAGGTGGAAGCCTAAAGAACAGCCCAATCTCATCAGCATGAGAACCCCCAGTAGTTTTTAGTACCTGTTCTTCCTTTCTCCATTCGCCCATTCTGCACTCTCCTCACACAGTTTTGTATGCAACACTGTGTTTCTGCTTGAAACCAGTCCCCCATTCTGCACTCTCCTCACACAGTTTTGTATGCAACACCGTGTTTCTGCTTGAAATCATTCGCCCATTCTGCACTCTCCTTGTACAGTTTTGTATGCAACACTGTGTTTCTGCTTGAAACCATTCCCCCATTCTGCACTCTCCTCACACAGTTTTGTATGCAACACTGTGTTTCTGCTTGAAACCAGTCCCCCATTCTGCACTCTCCTCACACAGTTTTGTATGCAACACTGTGTTTCTGCTTGAAACTACTGATCTAGCCACTAGAGCCTTTAAAATCTTCCAATGCTCAACCTTGTGACAAGGGAACCAAAATCCGAAGGTTCTGGACAAGCAAACATGACTCAGGACATCAAAGAACCCATTGTATAGATGGATGATAAACCTTTCACGATCAGATTCCCTGATAGAAGTGAATAGAAAGAGGGGTTTCAACCTGACAGAAAGGGGGGACTAATCTGGCACACAGATGGCTGCAAGACAAATAAAAAGGCACTGCAGCTGGGGTGTACTGCCATGGCACAAGGCAAAAACTTAGCTTTAGCCTTGGGCTGTACACAACAGTATACCAGACAGAAGTGTATGCTATTAAGGCATGTACAGTTCAGAATCTAGATAGGAACTATAGAAACAGAAACATCTACATTCTATCAGACAGTCAAGTTGCAATTAAACCACCTGCTAAATACCAGGTCACCTCAAAACTGGCCTGAGACTGCCTCACTCCCTCACACAACTGGCCAAACACACACAGAATTAAACTGATATGGGTGCCAAGTCACGAGGGTACTGTTAGTAATGAAGTAGCAGATCAGTTGCCAAGGAAGGGATCAGAACACCTGTTCATATGATCTGAACCAGCCTGCGGCATCTCTATTGGAATTGGCAAGTGGTCAGAGACTAGATGAACAGAGATAAAAGAGAGAGAGAAAAGAAAAAAAAATTAAAATCCATAACTGGACTCAAACAAGAAAAGGGAATTAGACAAGGATCCTCTGCCAGAAGAATGACACTAAGCTACAAGCTTGAAGGTCACAGGTTCGAGTCCTGATGAGGTGGATTTCTTTCAATATACATAATCCTTCCAGCTGCACTATGGCCCTGAGGTCGACTCAGCCTCTAACAGAACTGTGTACCAGGAATATTCCTGGGGAGTAAAGAGCAGCCTGCATGTAACGCTGACAACCTTAGCGCCATCTGTGAGTCAAGTGTCTAGATAATGTGGAACACTCAACGTCTCACAACCCTATGGGCTTGCATGGCCTGTTACAGGGATAGCTTTGCCTTTTACTTTTACCTGCCAGAAGAACGAAGGATCTGTGGAAATTAAACAGAGACAAATTTTTGTTGGGCGTACGGACTATTTACAAGACACTGTCACCTAAAAGGACACCTTTTCAAACTGGGACTGACAGATGACCCCATTTGCGAAAGGTGCCTAGAAGAAGAATCAGCCAAACATATCCTATCTGAGTGTGTGGCCATAGCTTATTTAAGTTCTATCACCTGGGCCAGTTCTTTAGGGAACCGAGTGACTACTGTGATGCACCCATAGACAAAGTCCTACATTACCCCTCATTCATTCATTCATTCAACCTTGTAGCAATGTGCAGTCAGTCTCCCTTCTCTCAGCAGTGTGTCACTGACCACTGCATTGCTGACACTAGCTTGTTTATACCATGTGGCAACAAAGTTTTGACTGTTTCAGGCTTTTTTCTAACTAGAAAACCTGCCACATTGTCCATAACATGTTTCCGTGTCTTTCCTGTTTCAAAAACAGTGTTCACTGCTGACGGTGCAATTCCTAATATGGCATCAAAGGCACCATGTGTTTACTTATTAGCAACCACCTGGGCTACAATGTCAAGTTGTCCTTGAACACAGAAAAATTTCCCCTCGTTTGGCTCTACCATTGTGATGAAAAATGAATCGCAACTATAAATTAGAAAAACTGTTTAATTCATCTTAGATTCATAATGCAACACTCACAAAGCAACTTAATAAGCGTGCAGAACTCGCAGTCTGAATTGTATCCAGAAAATAAAATAAAACTGACTGTCAGTTCAATTTACAGTAGATTAAAATGGCAACACTAACAGCAGTTAGTTAAGTGCACGGAACTTGTCACTTGAAACTCGTATCAAAACCCACTCAATACTATGCAAATTGGTCAATTGTAGGAAAGACAGTCCCACTCTGCTGGTGTGACCCTGAAGCCATATAATAAATAGTAAGTGTACATGAAGACAAGAGAGGAGATAGGAAATTATAAATAAATTTACTTTCTAGATTTCCAACTGATAGTACTTAGAACAGACAATGCTGAATTTATTCTTCTATGTAAACACAGAATCAAGGAATTGAGCAGAAAGCACAAATGTATAATCCAGGAAAATTTAACATTGTTCTTAAGGAAGTTCTGGTGAGAGTGATAAAAGTGTATGTAGAATCAAGGGAAATGTAGACTCAAGGATTTTAAGTTCTGGGTTTCAGTGTGTCTGAAAATAGTAGTTGTCTTGCATCATGTTACTGTAAAATGGTGTACAGAATTGGTCTATGGTGGACTAGTAACCTTTCAGTGTGTCCCTGATCCACATACCTCTATTTGTATCACAGAGCCACAAGATGTTCACCTGCTCTACAGTCACATCAGAAAGTCATGTGAGCTCTCACTGTCACTGTCAATGATATATAATTTCTTCAGTCAGTTGTTGATCTACTTACCGCAAATGGGTCAGCTTGTTCCCATGAGATTGGGGCACCCCATGAAGATGGGCGAACCTTTTCTGGCAAGCTCTCGGGTACAGCCACAAGGATAAAGAATACATCCAAGATGGCTATGGCTGTGGCAAGTGCCACAACAAGATTTTCACTATATACATCCATCATGTATGCACCTAGTGCTGGACTTATCACCATGCTTGCAGCAAATGTTGCAGACACCTGCAAAACATTGCACAGTAACTATAAGCAACGTACCAAATCACAAAATTCTGAAGATGCTCAAGCTTGTGACTGTCAAGAAGAGGGGTCTTGTTCTTTGGTCTAGTGGTCAGAGTTCCTGGCTACAGATCCAGAGGTCCCAGGATCGATTCCTGGCACTATCACAATTTCTGAGAAGTAGTGGGTCTGGAACGGGGTCCACTCAGCCTCATGAGGATAACTGAGGAGATATTTGATTAACGGCTGTGGGGATCCCTTGCACTGACCATGTGACACCCTCTATCTGCACTAACTTTGCTGACCAGCAGTCGCTGCTTGGTCGGTATAATCTGCCTGGGGACTACAGGCCACAGAGTTTCTTATGTAACTCAAGACTTATAACAGTGAGTCTAGTCATAATATATGGATACTAAACTTGTTTACCCAGCGTTACAGTGGCAGTATGTAGAGCAGTAATTACAATAACAACAGTAACAACAGAAAGTTTTAACAGTAAGCACAATGGTGAGCATAATATCTGTTGTGATATAAGTCACCACCCTGAAACTGGAGGCAGTATATTCCTCCACAGTGTCGGTACTCACACAGCAAATCACACTGTCCACATTAAACTAAGCACAATGACATACATATAATGGCCATACAGGGAAAGCACACATGTATAATTAATGATCACAAATATCATATGACTTTATATCCATGTACATGTGTACTCACGACTAAGCACAACAGCCCTTCGCAACAGCTTCCATAATACATTTATGACAACATACCCCTGTGCGTAATGATTTCCACAATGTAGACTCTTAATAACATGGTTCCACACTAACTGTAACTCAACGTCATAACTTTGCACTATATTGGGTATTTAATCTTGAAAACTTGATAATATATAATTTTTAATATACAATCTAACACTTTCAACACTTTTTAATATAAAAACTGTCAATATTTCAATGTATTTTCCACTATATGTCCCAGGCATACTTCTATTATTTAATTTTAATACTTATACTGTAACCTGAGGAACAATTTATATTAAAGAGCATGACAGGTTGTACCAAATATGGATCCATATTAGGAGTTCAATGAACTTAGATGTATCATATATTACTGCCTGATGACAGTCCCATGAGGGCTGAAACATGCAGCAGAAAATAAAATCCAATCTGAATGGTACTGATTGATCAAGTCATTTGTTGTTAGCAGTGCCTAACCTTAACCGTATGAATTACACTGCATTGTAACTGATGAGTCTGTGGTATGAATAACAGAAATAATATTCAGGAAAGTAGGAACATTTCCTAATGCAGCACAAGTGACAGGCACCACATGCAAGCAGCTCATAAGATTGAAGTTTGTGCATAACAAATTTAGATTAAGGAGTATGTTATATACCAACACTGCAAAAATTGAGACTGGTATATGGTCACCAACAGCAAATACATAAATATGTGAAGAAGACAGCTGTGACCCTGAAGGATTTATTCCACTTTTTGCTTGGAGAAACTGAAACAATTCATCAATCATGATAAATGAGATCTGAACTGTCCTGAATGAAAGTGTAGAGTGCTACCACTATATCAACCTGCTCAGTCTCTTTATCTAAGAAAGATATCCGAAAAGTAAAGATACAAAGTCAAGTATTTGTAAAGCATTTTCTATTCACTTGTAGAACTTTTACAACACACCTTTATTTACTTTTCAACATAGTCACCATGGATTGCAATGCACTTAGCCACCCTGGAAACGAGCTTTTAATTATTCCAGCATTGTAGAAATCTCCCGCCTGCTCTCTTGGCCAAAAACAGTTCTTGACATTTCTGGACATTGTTGCTGAAGTTCACTGATGGTTAAACGACAGCACAAATGTATTCATAAAATTTCTGCATGATTTCATCAAGAAAGAGAAACAAGTTGGCGATGAATTTCAGCAGCAGTTTCTCCTTTCAGGTGCAGAAACTGAATTACTGCACGAACCTCACATCTGGCAGATTTTGAATTGACGCGGCCATTTTTAAACACACACTGCAAGCACAACGGTGCTGTGACTGTGGCCAGTGAACTCAGCCATCATACGGTTCCTATCTCAAACAGCAGCACTGCCATTTCTGGGGGGAGAATCCTCTGCATTTTTACTGTACTTGTATCTTTACTTTCCGGGTATACCTTGTAGTTAGACTTGTTACGGTTAGACTGTAAACGTCAAATAACAAAAAACTTTACACATTCATTGCACCAACAGCGACCACTTACCAAACCATAAGCCAGGGAGCGTTCCTGTTCTTCAGTTACATCCGCTACATACGCAAACACAACAGAGAAGGTGACAGCAAACACACCTGAGATGCTGATCATGGCAAAGAACCACCTGTAATATGCATAAAATCTGCTCTCACAATTTCATTCTTATATTCAGGAAGTAACCCTTTGGGGGGGGGGGCAACAAAACCCTGCTTTTCAACTTCGGGTTACAGAAAAATAGGAGAGATCGAAACTGAATGGAATATGTGAATTTCTGTTCTATATTGAAGGCATCAACTTATTAGGTGAAAATATATTCAATCAAGACAAATAAAGATGCACTATTTCATGCTGGTAAGGTGATCTAAAACAGTTCCTCAAATTGTGCTCCACAAAGCCCTAGGGTTCTCCAAAGTATTATCAAGGTTTCTGGGACAGAATACTGCCTAATGGAGGACTAGCTCATTTAATGCCTTTGCTATTACAACAATACAGAACATAAACTGAGGGTGCCTGAGAACAGGGGAACATCTGAACCCAAGAGACAGGAAGTAACAGGAGGCTGGAAGAAAACTACATAATTAGGAGTTTCATAATCTGTACTTACCAAACACTATTAGGAGATTGATATGGATGGAGTATGTGGCACACCTAAGAGAGATGATACATGCATACAGAATTTTAAAAAGAAATCAGGAAAGAAGTTAGAGAGACCACTTGGGATACCTAGGCATTGATAATTTTAAACAATAACTTTTCCATTCCTTTGTATTTGTTCCTTGCTTAACGGCATTTTCAGACAATATCCACACATCTGAAGTTGCATTTGTCTTACTAATGAACCTCCAAAAGAAATGCCCCATATCAGGCGACTTTCCTATAAACTCTATTTTAATTAATTATGATGTGCCATGCGATTGCCCAGGTTTGATCCTGGCTCAGGTTGTGTGGGATTTGAGGTGGGAAAAGTGGACACCAGTGGGGTACTTGAAGTTCTTCTGTTTTGCCTGCCAATTCTCACTTCACCAACTGCTCCACATTCATTAATCATCCTATCACCAATGCTACATAGGCTTCATAATAACAGCAGCATTAAGTAACAAACAAAGAGGATGCATTACAGTACCATATCTGTTTTCTCTCACAAATAAAATGTAAAGGTTCATTATATTTTAGCATCCCATTGCATTAAGCCATTATCCTTATTATCAAAGTACACGTCAGTATACAGGAAGACCGCACTACTGCCACATACACAAGAGAAATCCAACACACAAAAACTATAATAGCTGCAAAAGAGTACAACGACAGCATTCTAGTCATGAGATAGAACTAAACATTGTCGTGCATGGGAGCACGGTGGACAAGTGAACAGCGCAGCGGGCTCCCCCCCCCCAAAAAGAAAAAACATCTGATGATGGCCCATGTGTGGCCGAAACATGTCGTAAACTAGAAACAAATATATGTAAAGCTAGATACATTTTAGAAATTTTGAAAATCACTTTTAATTTATAAAATATACTTTTAGTGTCCCATTGACATTTTAATGATTTTAAAATCATAAAATATTAAAATACATTTTTAATGAGTAACATATTCTTGATGTCATTTACACTGTTGCATTATTGAAGTGTACTTTGATAATAAGGGTAAAGATTCATGTGTCATGTAGTATAACTCTATGCAACAAAGACAGTAACACAAGTACATCACAAAACAATTTAAAAGGGATTACTATATCAGCAGAAGTTTTTACCAAAAGGGCAAACTCTTTAACTACAAGACGTGTCAATATTGACGACAAATATCTTTACCACATATCTACATAATGTGACAGGATTGGGATCTTGGAACAGCACACGTGTCAGGAGACATCCTCTACTAGGCAACATAATGGTAAATGCATATTGCCAGGAATGACATAAGAGAGCAACAGTCGAATGACTGTGGGTATCACTGTGCCCTGGTGATATGCTGTCAGGCTATATAAAGAAGCACACTTAACAGGCCCGTCTGAGACAATAAAATATGGTCATGAGTCCCGCATGACTCAGAACCAAAAATAACAGCACTGACAAGGGTCAGCAGCAATTTACCTAACTCAACCTTGCTTGACCGATTTTAATCATACTGTCACATGTAGGAGTGACTAAAGACAGGGTTTGGATTGGTAATTTGATTTAGTGAGTATTTACAGGCCATAACTACAGAGTGTTCAACCAATGAAGAAACCGGGGGAGCGGCGTGGGTAGGATACAACATATCTCACAGATTGCTGCTGTAACTGCCAAAAGCAGAATGAGTCATCATCACTGATAAATGCATGCATTCTCGCTAGCATAGGGTGGATGGATCATTTCTCCACAACTGCTGTGTCCTTCCCTGCTAGCAAGAGTGCAGTCATGTCGCTGAATACCTCAAATTGGTTTCTGTACATGCATACATCTATAGGAATACTGTAAAAAGATAACAAACTTACCGTACTTTATAACAGGTGTTGGAAGTGACCGCCTTCTGCTTGCAAACATGCCTTGCATTGCAAAAATAAATTATGCAACACTTTCTTAAGTTAGTCCACAGCAATTGAACCAATTATGCAAGTTATTTCATTCTGCAGAGCTTCAGTGGTGCGAGGAGTATTCTTGTAGACTTTTCCTTTGTGTTTCCCAAAAGATGAAAATCGCAAAAACTGAGATCTGGGAGGCCACAGTCCCCTACTGATTACTTTCTCTTCAAACACTTCCCATATTGCGACAATGGATCCATTAGCCGTATGTGCGTTAGCATTGTCTTGCTGAAAATACCCATATTGTCTTTCTTCAACAGTCAGCTGATTGAAGAACAGATGCAGTATATCATTAAGGTAGAGGTCAAAGTTCATGGTTTCGTGAAAAATAAGAGGCCAATGACTCGGTGTGGAATTACAACACACCACAACCCCACCTTTTCACTATGTAACGGCACTTGCTGTAGAGCGTGAGGATTTTACATGCATAATTAGTTCAATTGCCTTGGACCAACTTCAGAAAGTGTTGCATAATTTATTTATGCGATGCGAGGCATGTTTGCAAGCAGAAGGGGGTTACGTCCGACACCTGTTATATATCACAGTAAGTTTGTTTTCATTTTACAGTATTCCTATAAATGTGTGCATGTTCAGAAACTGATGTGAGGGAATCAGTGACACAACTTTAACTCTCGCTAGTGGGGAAGGGCACAGCAGTTGCTGAGAAACGATCCATCCGCTCTACACTAGTGAGAGTGCGCGCATTTATCAGCACTGATAACTCATTCTGCCATTGGCAGTTACACCAGCAATCTTTGAGAAATGCTGTATCCAACTCAAGCTTCTCCCCTGGTTTCCTTGATGAATGAATGCCCTGTAAAAATAATCATAAAACTGTTACTGACTTTTAACACGACGCACTCCACGCTACTCTCTTCAGTCGATCTCCACTAGCCTTCATGTATTTATAACAGAACTATAAAAATCTCCCTAAATCACACACTACCAATATCACTGTACTACAGCACATGTAAAGTCTTCTAATCACGTGGTAAATTTTCACAGGCTGATTTCTTATACTCTTCTGCACTCCTCAAGCTTACTGCTATCATCTTGTCTGCATGCTTCTGCCGCTACTACTCCTCCAGCTTAGGAATTCTGCTCACTCATATTATAGCTGAGGAATGGACATGTAAAGTAAGTAAAAGTAAAGCTATCCCTGTAAGAGGCCATGAAGGACCATATAGTTGAGAGATGTTGAGGGTCCCACATTATCTAGACAATCAGCTCAAAGATGGTGGTAAGGCTGTTAGCCTTATGCGACGGCTGCGCTTTAATCCCCAGGAAAATTATTTAATTAATGTCTGGTACTCATTTCTGTTAGAGGCTGAGTTGACCCCAGGGCCATAGTGCAGCTGGAAGGATTACATCAATTGAAAAAATCCAATGACCTCATTGGGACTTAAACCCGCAACCTTCCAGCTTGTAGCATAGCCTCTCAACCAACTACGCTACTGCGTGCCCTACGAGGAATGGACACGAAATCACAGGAAACACGTCACATGAACACTATCCAGCCAGTCCAATGGCACCAGCTGCATGGACATACAGCAAACGCATGTCACGTGACTGCTACCTACTGTTGTGTGATGTCACTGATGACATGGAAAATACAGCTTCCTCTATTGTTGCATGTTGGACCGTGTTTACAGAGCTGTTGCCTGGCAATGCATTGATCAAATCTGTTACAATATGTAACTAGGAATGTCATTGCACATTAGAGCATCATAGGATGCCTAGGCAGAGCAAAGAAATGATTGCAACTACATCAACACCAAGAAGATTCAACACACTCTGCACACATTTATGTGCTTTGGTGATACATGCAATCTTCATAACACTGCACACAGATATATATACTTACAGATGTGAATGAGTTAAATGACATTATATGTTTATTGCCTTCCTGTCACCTTTAAGAGACAGTTATACGCAGGAATACTGGAGTAACTAGTCATGCTGTATCTCTCAAACTATACAACAGACTTCCATAAAATTTGCTCTTGCAACTCGGCATTAAAGGGAGTTCTACAAATTTTACTTTATCCTCTACTGGTCCAGTAGTTCACTATATTACACAAAAACAAAAGAAGAAACTCTGTTGTTTTTGTCCGCAAGAGAACTATACCAATCAAGCAACGGCTGCTTGTCAGTGAAGTTAGTGCCAACTTCAGCAGATAGAGAGTGTCGCGTGGTCAGCAAAACAAATCCCAATGGCAGTTAATTTCGGTTTTCTAGACCGAAACTTCTATTTCTTTGAAATAGCTCCTCTATTACCCTCATGAGGCTGAGTGGACGCCATTCCAAACCCACTACTTCTCAGAAAATCTGGGAGCACCATGAATCGAACCCAGACCTCTGGATCTGTAGCCAGGAACTCTGACCACTAGACCAAAGAGGCGGTCCACTATATGCACTATATTACCCACAGCTTTAAAATTTACTTACTTAATTACTCATGGAGCTGAGCCCTTCTGGATGAGCTGCCAATTCTGCGGCTACTCAAGAATTTTCCAGCATTTTATGGAACCTGAAGGTTCATTACCATGTTCACAAGAACCCTCCACTGGTCCCTACCCTGAGCCAGATAAATCCAATCCATACCATCACATGCTATCTCTCTAAGATCCATTTTAATATTCTCCACCCACCTATGCCTTGGTCTTCCCAGTGGTCTCTTTCCATCTGGCTTTCCCACCATTATCCTATACGCATTCCTCGACTAACCCATTTGTACTACATACCCTGCCCACCTCATCCTCCTTGACTTGATCATTCTAATTATACTTGGAGAAGAGTACAAGTTATGAAGCTCCTCACTGTGCAGTTTCCTCCAACCTCCTGTCACTTCATCTCTCTTCGGTTCAAATACTCTCCTCAACACCCTGTTCTCAAACACCCTCAGTCTATCTTCCTCCCTTAATGTCAGAGACCAAGTTTCACACCATACAGAACGACAGGCAAAATTATAGTTTTGTATATTCTAATATTTGGACAGCAGACGAGAAGACAAAAGGTAGCAAGCATTACCCGAGTTCAAACTCCTCTTAATTTCCTCCTGAATCAGCTTTCGATCTGTTATTGTTGTTACCAAATATCTGAACTGTACCGCATTTTCAAAACATCTGTCTCCTCTCTTTATGTCATGAATTTGCCCTGCATTTTGGTGACAAGGCAGCAACATATACTTAGTTTTCTCTGTGTTTACTTCTAGACCAACCTCTTTACTTGCATCAATTAAATAAAGTCTGTGTGTTTTTCTTTATGGTATCTACATTATAACCCAGTAGATTCACATCATCGGCATAGGCCAACAGCTGATGTGTCCTGTTTAATTTCAGTCCCACCTGGTTTCCCTGGACCTTCCTAATGACATATTCTAAAGCAAAGTTGAAAAGGAGTGGCAATAAAGAATCTCATTGTTTTAGACCATTCTGGATAGGAAATTTATCAGACAAACGTTTACCTATACGGACTTCACTATACATTTCGTTTAAACATATTTTAATCATCCTAACCAGTTTCATGGGTATCCCAAACTCTATCAGAATATTGTACAAAAGTTCCCTCCTAACTGAATCTTGAAGTCTATGAATAGCTGATGTACTCTCATCACACTCCCATTTTTTCTCCAATATGTGACGAAGGCAAAAGATATGGTCTGTACTTGATCTATTACATCGAAACCCACACTGATGATCCCCAATAATTTCATGTATATATATGGACTTAAGCTTGAGAGAAGAATATTGGATAAAATTTTATATGAAGTTGACAGCAGTGATATCCCCTGATAATTACTACAGCCAGTTTTATCACCCTTCTTGTGAACTGGTACAATAATAAACTCCTTCCATTGATCAGGCAATTTTTCCTTATGCCAAATAGAATTAATTAGATTGTGGATCTTAGAACATAATATTTTGCCTCCTGCTTGAGTAAGTTCTGCTGGAATTTGATCACTACCTGGCGATTTGCACCATTTCAATTTTGCAATAGAACTTTCAACCTCAAGAGGGCTAGGATCAGGTACTAACAGCTCAGCTGTATGGATTTCTGTCTGCCTAACCTCACTGATCCTATGTACATTCAATAACTGAGAGAAGCAGGCACATCGCCATTCTCATCCTTCACTAATTTACTGCTAGGCTGGTAACCCCTCTTAAAGTCATTTATTCCTCTATACAGGTCTCTAATGTCCTTGTTCTTACTGTTCATTCCAAGCTCATCAATTCTGTCTCTCAGATATTCCCTCTTTCTTTAAAATTAACTTAACTTTAAAAAATATAAGCAAACACATATGAAACCAAAGTTACAGAACTTCGCCTTTTGTATCCTCTCATATGCTTCAAACACAGTAATTTTGCCATATAAGTCCACTGTCAGAAGTCTTCCACCACCAGCTTCTGAATTAATTGCTAAATTATGATGGAATGCTTCGTACACTTTTTACAATCTTTGATAAATCTTCTAGCAGTTCAGATATATGAAAGACAGATGACAGGAATTTTATATTTTCCCACAAAACATGCCTTTCACTCTTAATCTGTGTGTAGATTAATTTTCAGTTGGTAGAAATGAGGTTTGGAACAGAAAGGATGGGAAACGGTTGATGGCATCTTTATATTCTCATGCAAAACAGTTTATAAGTCATTATTGTAAAATCCAGCAATGTCTGATTTGGGCTCCTTGTGAAGGAAGTGACATATGCAGACCAATTTAAAATTTTTCTAACATACCTAATTTCATTTAAATATTTTAGTAGCCTAAGATAAAACATTACAAAATTTCAAAACATTACTTTCAGATCTAACGGTCACAGAAAGATAAGACAGATCATACTAGATTAATAAAGTATGATATAATCAAAGCTAAACATGTCCTGTTATATAAACATTGAATCAGAACAACAAATATCAGAAATGAAATAAGTACAGCAACATTTCATTTGCACAAGTAAATGACGTTTTAAATGTAAGTAATAAATGTACCAAGAACTGAGTACAAATCAGTCACATAACTACTCACCATGTGTTGATAGTCATAAGTGGGATGGGTGCACATGTGAAGAAAACAGTGATAAGGAGAAAGAACTTGCGTCCCCATACATCTGACAGTGCTCCTATTAGGGGCGCACTCAGAAATGACAGCAAGCCCTGTCAACATATAATCAAACCATATATCCCTGCTGCAAAATATGAATAGTAACTAAGTAATACAAGGACCACTTTCAGGAAGAACCAAGTGACTAATACTACACTAGAAAAATTATGACACTGAAGTTGTTCTATAGCAAAAGACTGAAAACTTTCTACAGTAACAAGATTTACTGGTTTCAATCACATTACAAAATGTATTGCCTGCAGATAATCACAGCTCAAGGAATGTTACCAAAGTTTATTATCTGTTCCCAGAGGCCTTATTAAAATAATCCATATCTAAACTGATATCAGTCACCACTTAGTTCAAATTCCAGTGAGTTCTCTTTGACCTTCCTAGTGGTATATTCTAAATCAAAGCCGAAAAGCAATGGTGACAAGATGATGATAACGACAATGACAAGGATGATGACAACAAATGAAATGACTCAAGATTCACAATAATAAATAACAATTCATTCCTACAATAGAGAAAACTGTCCATTCAAGCCTGCCCAATGCTGGCCACGAAAGTGTTGCTCTGACACATGACACTTGTTCAGCATGGTCACCTGTATTTGAGATATACATCATTATGCATGGCCAGAATGACAGTATTGTGCAGAGTAAAGCAATGACTCACAGCACCTCAACAAGATAAGTTCATGGGATCAGTACTGGACACAATGATACAATCTTTTGCCTACAGGTTCAAAGCAAGAATCTATACTAGATTAACTAGAATTAACTAGTGATGCTTACTAACATTTATAAGGTATGAACACAAGTCAAGGGAGGGTTAAGCTTTGCAAAATAAAACTAGAGACCAACTACACTTAGATTCTACTGAATTCTCTTTATAATCATATTGTCAATATACTATTCAAAAACAGTGACAGGGGTAAAATGTAACCTGTGCAAAACAAACTTAAAAAAAAAAAAAAACTCCTAGATAACATACAGTTGTATATAACACATACCACACCTATCTCAATAACTGAGTTACTTCAACAACAGTGATATTTTGTGTTTTAAACTTTATGTCAATTACCCTAAATATTTGTATACCAAACATTAAGAAATCAAATGCAAAAGGAAATCTACTCAAATACTCAGATAATATGGGGCTTCATAGATTATTACACTACCCTAACAATGGAAACAGCAATTTTCTCCAAAACAGTGCTCATCAAATTATGGTAGTGGTACGTCTTACAATTACCAAAGCAGCCACAGTTACCATGTCCCATTCAGGATTCCCACTTACAACTGTTACCTCTGGGTGTTTTTTTTCTGATTCAGAATAAGCTTATAAATATGGAAGATGTACAGATGATCATTATTCCCTTGCATTATATCACAATCTTAAAAATTAAGTTGTGGATTTTTCAAATGGGCCATGTTTACTTATGGCTTTGTTGGATAATTGGGCATTCTCTTTTTCCATCCCCCTCAACCCCCGAACTACCCATTCCACTACTTCCTATTTCGCATAATCCACCTATTCTGATTGTACCATATGACCACCTCCACCCCTTCTTATAGCTGTTCTAGAACGTACTAAGAGTTTCGTCTTTGTATGCTTCTGTGGCTAAGTAGTCATCCGAGGGAGGTGGAAATTTTGTTCAGGCTGCACATTAAAAAATCCTGTTTGGAGTCTCATTCCAGCCGTTAGGGGCTGTGACAGCCTTGTTGTACAGGAGTACTTCTGTGAGTTTCTCTTTTTTGGATACTGTGATTTCTTTGGGCTTCCTTACTTCCCCTTTCAAATGGTAGCAACACTATGTAGATATTATTTTCTGTTTATGTATGTCATTGAGTCAGGTTGAGATGTAATGTTTTGGTTTTTGTATTGATCAGTATCGCCCAATATTATAGTGCCGAAGGGCTAGTCAAGAAGGTTACGAGAAGGTAGTTACGTATTTCTAGAAGAGAGGTTGCCTAATGCTCTGAGTTCCTGTTCTTTGTACACCCCTGCTGTATTTTCTGTTTGGGGTTTTTTTCTGTGCTCTACAAATGGTCGAGCATAAGGTTGAGGAAGAATATTGGATTTGTTAATAAAAATATTTAGTATTTATTATTATTTTTGTGTTATTGTATTGTTATTGTTATTAAATACTTAGTCTTGTGGTTCCAACTTTCCCTGAATAACTGCTACCATGGACACCCCAACCTATCTGCAGAGTACCGGGAATGCAACACAGGAACCAGAGATGAATGCAGCGTTCCCCCTTTCTATTGTGAGCAGTGAGGGGGTAGAGAGGGGAAGAGCTCCTCACAAATCCTTTTCCTACCATACTGTCCATACATCTGACTGTTTCATAAAGTAACAAGCACAAAAGCTTGAGAACCAATGGGACCCATAACTGTGGCTGTGGCTGTATGAGTGACAGCAAAGAAGTGAGTACAGTTATCTTGGATGGAAGGAATAAAAGTAATTGCCTGTCAACCCCTTTTCCCCTGCAGGATATGGCAGACCCCTCAAATATGTTAACAGATACCAGACCCTAACAATATGTATCTGCCAGACTACATAGCACCACAACTCACAACAGCATAATCTTAATACAGATGGTATTCATAAGACACTTATTCTCCAAAATTTTATGACAGACTGCAATATTTGCAGCATATACAGGGTGTCCCAGGAGGAATGTGCCAAACTTCGGGAGGGTGTTCCTTATGTTAAAGTATGCCGATATAACCCAAAACACCTATGTCCAAAGTTGAACGGTTACGGAGATAATGGCCCGAGAAAAGTGTGGTCTTCTGGCAGGTCCA